ACCTAAAAGACCAGGTGCTGCAATGTTCAGTGTTTTGATGTCTAAGTCCTGTAGTGGATCTGGGCCATGGTGCCCAGCACTTACCTGAGCTAAGGTGGCAGATACTTCTCTGAAAGCAGACTCTCCATCTCCCTCTTTCTAGTAAGGATGCATTTTAGCAGCAGACATGTTATACATTAGGCAGATGAAACTAACTTGTGGCTGAGTCACAGCACCCACACCACTCACCAAGAACAACATTAAATATGCAAGAAACAAAAAGAGAAAGTTACATAGCTGCAAGTAAATGGTACATGACAATGAGCTATGGCATAGAGCAGTGAGCCTCATGGATGCCACCTACAGTGTAGACCCTACTAAAATCGTCTTGTATTACAAAGTACTTTCCAGACTGAAATCTCTTAGCTCAGGTGTTCAAACCTTGTCTGCTCCCACTACTGGCTGCCAGTTTACAGCAGCTTTAATACACTGTAGACTGCTAGGCCAGCTGTCTGACAGAAGTGACACTTCCTCGGATGTTAACACTTTAGGCAAGCACACAGCAGATGGGAAAACACACAATTTCAGGAGCAACAAAGACAGCAGTAAGGAGTATAAGAGCCAGACAACAGGACACTTCTTCCCAAATAATGCCTCTACCCTTAAAACAGACAATACCACACGATTCTAAATTCTGAAGTATTTCTGGGAAGGATGAAGACAAAAGTCTTTACCAAAATAAAATTACATCTCAACTGAAATAGTTGTGTATTGATTGTAATAAAAACAATACTACAGTTTAAAAATACAGCTGCATCATTGGTTCAAGAATTGAACTTGTTTTGCTTTTCATCTGACATTAGTAAAAGGATTCAGCACATTCTTTCTAAAAATGCATTTCCAGCTTTATACTTTCTCCATTACCTCTCCCATAAAACAGGATAGGTGACACCTCACTAACTATAGTCTAAATGGATGTTATCTGCCTTGCCTGATACTCTAATGATGGTTCAAGAATGTTAACTACAGCACAACTTTGTAAAAGTGACACTTCAGCAGCCATACAGGACTTAGTCCCCAACTGTAGCACATTACAGTATATTTTTACAATGTTTTTGTGAAAAAAAACTTTCTTTTTAACTGAATAAAATTAAGTTGCAATTAATTGCTGTAAGGCTTTTATTCAATTAAAATACACAGTACATATACTTAAGTTCCATATAAACCCTTGCAATTACATTAGCATGCTAGGCACTTGACAAACAGAGAAGCCACGATCCCTGACCCAAGGAACTCATGTTCTTGATTTGGGTTACTAAGCACCCAGGAGTACAGGGAGCAAAACTTTTGCTGGAAAAAAAATGAAAACAAGTTCCATGGATGCTTCCCAGGTTATGCTATTTTAAATAGTGCTAAATTTAAAGGAGTAAATTTTTCAAACAGACATTTATTTTAGAAGCTTAAGTCCTTTTGTCACAAATGACTCATTGGTGTGTCAATACTGCTGAGGCTACTTGTTATTAGTATCTAAAATATATGTGGTCACATTAAACAGCAGCTGGATTAAAATTTTACCAAAGATTCCAGGTCTCTGAAAAGAGGAGCTGAGTTTCCATTGTTTCTCAGGCTTGCTCTCCGGTACTTTATTTAAATAAAGATATTGTGGTTCAACCAGTGTCTGCTTTATTACCAGTACCTATAAATCCTAGGGCAGAAGGAACACTCCGAATGATATACTGCATTCTAGTCGCTGCGGCACCCCACCTTCGAGAGCGTTACAAACACTTCCGTCTTTCCATGCTGTCATTCTATTCTTTTTTTTTCCTTTTGGCAGTGCCAATTACTGAACATGTTTCTATTTGAACAAAAGCTTTCACCCTTTCATCTCATATCCTACTCTTCACTAGTCTGCAGAGAACTCAAAATCCTACATGTGTGACCTCATTGTCTGTTGCCATAGAAACAACTGGAAAGAGCCACTGAAATTTAGCTTTCAAACTAACTGTAAAAAGCATTCAGTCTTCATGTTGAACACCCAGTACATAGACCAGTGACCATGTGTGACATACAGAATAGTAGAGATGATAATTTTACATAATAAAGTTGGGGTGGTATCAAGGGGATCTTGTTGCACTGTGGAACTCCACAGCATTATTACCATCCCCAGCCTCAGGTGGAGCAGCAGCTTTTCAGACGTGTCTGAAGACATATTCAGCAGCTGGTTTAAAATGCAGGTTCTGTTCTCTCTTCCTGCTCCCCTGTCCATGTTATTGGGGGGAAAAGGCAAGGATTTTTGTGGGTGATATTTTTTTAGTGGACCAACTGCATGATTTGGATAGACTTAAGCAAGCTTTTGAATGCAATCAATTCTTCTTCAGATCTGAGCTCCAGGTGGCAAAAGGTAACTTAGCATCAACTTTTCACAATATTGACTGCAGTTTTCTAGTCAGTCTTAAATCTAGGGTTCAGAAAAGTGCCCCAAGTTTAGCTTCTGTAAATAAATATACTTGTTCACTGCAAGACCAACTGGACAGCAGCAATACTGTAACATTTTCCTTGGGAGTTTTCAATCACCAAGCTTAGCTTCTTTCCAGTTAGATATTTAACTTAAAAGTTACACTACTGACTGCAAGTCCACTGGCCATGGGGGCCAGCTAACAAGCTCATGTAAATAATTGGTTCTTCCTACCATTACTAGTGTTGTACTTGCAGTATAGCCCCAAATCATCTCCTCTGCACCCAGCCCAAGGAACAGGGACAAGTAGTAGAGGGAGCAAGACTGCAAGCAGGGAATTCAGCAGAGTTTGGATGCAGAATATGAACAGACCTATTTTGCAGCTGGAACTTCTTTCGTAAGTGCTGGAAGAGATTTCTGGGCTTCAAATACCACATACTGCTCCCTTACCCCCACCCCAGAGATTTCAGGTATCTGAATTCTTCAGTCCTTCTGCTTGGCCTGTTCCAAACTCACACTACACACAGTATGTTTCCTTTTAGTTTCCAGAAATCCTGCCCTCAGCTGCTTGTAGCAGAATGTCATGGTTACACTGTATGGGGGCTGTCCATACCTATAAAAATGAAACCTGAATTCATCCATGTGATGTCTTTCCACTTTCTGGTCACCTAAACTCCAACCATCTGCTATAATCTTGGGGCCAACCTCATCCCTACATCACTGAAGCCAACAAAGCTTCACCCCCTGACATCAGCAGTGAATTTACACCTCGGTTCTCATCAGAAAGACACTATTCCACTGGCACCAAAAAACGGGGAGTTCACTAAATCAGGAAGTAAAGACAATGCTTTCAAATACAGGTTTACAACATTATGTAAATAACCTACAGTTAGCTAAAAATAGCAACTACATTTAAAACTGGCACAGACACATAAAATACTTGATGGGGCCTGGCAATTTAATTTGTAAAACTCATTGCCACTCCAGACTACAAGAAAAATCAAATACAGGTTTCCCTCGTGTTATGCTGTAAATTAGGGCTGTGCGAAGCTTTGGTCACTGATTCAATTCGGCAGAGATTCAGCTGGATTCAGTGGCTGAATCTCCGAATCCAAATTGAATCAGGAGACCCTTTAATCTCTCTGAATAGAACCAGAACACTTTGAATCAATTCAGAGAGATTCAATGATTCGGAGATAGATACAGCTTTAAATGTTTTTTCTACATACCTCAAGGTACCAGGCAGCTCGTGAAGACTGAAATGCTGGGGCGGGTGGAGCATCCCACAGGAGTGCTGCGGGGTCCCCAGCATGCTCAGTAGCAGACCCAGAAGTGGACCAGAAGCACTTCCGGTCCACTTCCAGGTCTGCTGTGGAGCACACAGGGAGGCACCCCACACTCTCTCAGCTTGGCAATTGGTGCCTCCTGGGTCTGGGGGGGCACCTGGGGTCCCCCCATGGCCAATTGCTGAGCCAGGGAAGTGCGGGGGGGGGGTGTCCCACAGCACACTCGACAGCAGACCCAGAAGTGGGCCAGACGTACTTCCAGTCCACTTCCAGGTTCACCACTGAGCGTGCAGGAGGCCCCCCCCTGCACTCCTATGGGACACTCCATCTGCCCCAGCACTGCAGCATTCACAAGCTGTGCCTGGTGCCTTGAGGTATGCAGAAAAAACATTTCAAGCTGTGTCTATGGCTGAATCACTGATTCCCCGAATCAGCATTGAATCTTCAGATTCAGATTCGGCCAGATCAAATTGGGGACAGTGATCCAAATCAACAAATTGAATCACTGTCCCTGATTTGGGATGAATCCAAATTGAATACAGCCCGTTTCACACACCCCTACTGTACACGTGTTCCTGGAAAATGGTGCATAACTCAAATTTGCATAAAGGGAACCCATTTTACAAATGTAACAAATAGGGATATGGTCCAAGACCTCAACTGTACTGACCCCCAGGCCCATTTCTTTTACAAGACAATTTTGGTACTCAGCAACGACAGTACACACAAGCACAGAGTGGTGGTGAATGTTACCATAATGGGGATGGCAACTACAGAAACACGTACGGCAGACAACATTCGAATGAGGAGCACAGATCCACACAGAAGACTATATTTTGGTGCGTGTCATTCCCACAATGCACTGCACAAAGCAGCTAACTGTGGGCTTCCACCACACTGATCGCATAAGACTGAATTTACCTTGCATATAACGAATTTTTGGTATAAAAAGGGTCGTTGCATAAGAGCAAATTCACACATACACAACATGCATACAGCAAGGGAAACCTGTAGTGGGATATGCACTGACCCAGTGACATAATCAATAGCATAACACCACCTTCCTCTCAACTCAGTAACATATTAAAACCATTTTTTCTTTGATATTACCAAAAAATCCCAAACACCAGGCACTGAATGTGTGTAGAACACTTGCATTTGGAGCTCTCAGAGGACTTTACAAAAGTTAACCATCTTCATTTTATAGGGAAAAATCTAAGGCACAGAACCAGTCACTCAGGCTCCTGGCAGCTCCCCAAAAGACTAAGACCTGCATCCAAAAAAATGAAAGGTTCTTTCTTATTTAGCAGCAGTAGGCAAAGGACTTTCTGGAAGTACTTTAATTCCTTGTACAAGGCAGTCATGATTCAGTTTTCACTGTGGTAGTGTAGACAGAAGTGAAAGCTACAGAGTGCAAAAATTTAAATATGCATCTAAAAGCAGATTGAAGACAAGGATGATACCATACCTCCTCCTCCAAAATCTTTGCACCACTATTCCTTTTTATATCCTAATATTAAATCAGATGAATAAAACTTCCAGAGGTTTGTCCAGCTCCATTATAACTTCAGATCGTTGCTTCCCAGTGACTTAAAGCAACTGTCCAAAAATTCATCTGTTACTTCTTCTAAGGTAGCTGGCTTCCACTTTGGGGCGTGGTCTTTGTCAATCAGCACTATAAAGATGAAATAGGACATGAAGCTATCAGTGAACTTTATCAAAATCACTTCAGATGGCATTAACATTCTACTGTTGCAATATCCAGTGCATATTAATCCACTCTCTAGCATACTTATTTTCGGTAAGATTTAACTCCCCCTTCCCCACAATGCTCCCCACCACTCCCCTGAGTGTGACTGTCCTCTGAAATGTACTGTTAACTAATTCACACTTCAGAATTACAAAAGACTGGACATACACAAACACTCAAGAAATCCCAAGTGTGCTTGCAAACTATGAAGCAGGGTGTGTAATGGTCCAGACAAACTTTAAGCCAGTGGTTTCTGTTATATCTACTGCTCTAGCTCAATGCACACAATCATTTGGCAATGGGATAGAGGTATAGAAATCTATACAGGATATCCATTGTAAAAAAGGATCCCTGTAAAATCTGGCGAATGACTAAACAGTTACTCAAATACTTAAGGAATTTAAATTTTTCACTGAGTCACAGATATGCAGAGCTGGAAGGAACCTCCAGAGGTCATCTCATCCAATCCCCTGCTCAAGACAGAAACATCCCTGTCTAACCTCAATTTAAACATTTCCAATGACAGAGCTTCTACACCTTCTCTTGGTAATCTGTTCCAGTGTTTAGTTATCCTCAATCATTAGACAATTCTAATATCCAAATCTTAATTTGCAAATTTCAGACAGTTCCTGGGGTACTGTGGCCCAGCCAGGCATTTCCCAGTTTGCATTTCTGCATTTGATTATTCTGTTTCAAGCAGAGTACTTTGCACGTGTCCTTACTGAATTTCATCCAATTAATTTCACATCATTATTTCAATTGACTAAGGTCACTTTCAGCCTTGATCCTATCCTTCAGGACATTTGCTACCCCACCCAGCTTGATGTCATCTGCAAATCTACTAAACAAGCACGCAAAGCCAACCTCTGAGTCAGTAATGAAAACATTAAAAGGTACTAGATGGAGAGAAGTGGCACAAACACAGCTTCCAGCTCCCTGGCCCCTGAGCAGCTCCTCTGCTCAGCCCCGGCATAGGCACAGGCAAAGCCCTGCACCTCCACAGGCCATGGGCTGTACATTGCTGACCCCTTGCTCTAGGTGCCAGGAAGCAGATTGCTGGCTCAGCATCTTTCTAGACCTTGAGGGTGGACTGACTAGTCTGTAATTTCTTGTACTTTCCATGTTCTGTCTTAAAGGTAGGCACAACATTTGCCTTTTTCCTGTCACTTTGGGTTTTACCTGACCTCCAGGAGTTCTCAAAGATAATAGCCACTGGCCCTGCCATTGGTGCAGTCAATTCCTTGGGTACTTTAAGAAGAATTTCATCTGGCTTTGCTGATTCAAAACTATGCAATTTATTTAATATCTGACCTGCTCTTTCCCTGACTAGTCTAATTACCTCCTCCCCTACCCTTGCTACTAACTGTGCCTGTCATCCAATAGTTGACCTTTTTGGGAAGGCTGAAGTAGAAAAAGGCGTTCTGCTGTTCAAATCGAAAATGTTCCATTTCCAGCTCTCAAAATATGCCACCAGTCTCTGTAATGTTCTATTAAGCATCAAAACTATCTGCTGTGCATGTAGCACAGTGAATGTTCTGCCCTTTACAACTTCTCTTCAGCAATTTATTCTTATTTAGATTTATAGCCAATGTTAAACTGGCAGTCAGTCTAAATGATCTGGCCTCAGCATCTCTTTCTCCGTCTCTCATCTTGCAGAGACCATAGCTATCCTGCTATGGCAATTGTTCATCTTCTTGTTTTCAAGAGACAGGATGAGAGGAATGTCACAGGCTAAGTACCAACACTGGGCAAGACTGAAATTTCAATGGGATGTTATCAACGCCTCCTACTATATTAGGAATCACCGTGACTCAGGGTTTTTTAGGGTTTCAGAATTCCAGTTTCCTTTGCCATTGGACTAAGGCAGCCATGGCTATATCTACACTGACAGGAGCAACCTTAAGATTGCTCTTATGCCCATACCCAACAACCATCTACAGTGAAAACCCATAAAGTCTGACATCAAGCAGCAGTTCAGCCCTATTTGGCAAGTTCTGCTTAACTCTAGTGTCTGTGGTCAAGCCAGTCTCCTACGTCCACTCTGCCATGTGTCTGGAAATCACCTGGGTCCTGCAGGCTACAAGCACAGAGTCTACCAGAAGCAATCCTACAACTTCCAGTTCCTGACTTCAAGCCCTTCTGCATCCCACATCCTGTAGTTAGATCCAAGCACAGAAGGTGAAACTTATTAACTTGCAGACAGATCCTGCAAGGGCTCCCTCACGGGATAAGCAGCACAATGTGGATAGTTTTGGTGTGAGCAGCAAGGTAAGATATAGGTAGGGAGAGGCAGCTCATTTGGTTCAGGCTGGTGGGGGACAACTTTCTGGGTCAACCTTAAATATCAGTGCAGACCAGTGATTCTCAGCCAGACTGCCAGGGCACCATGGGGTGCTGGGAGATGTTTGAATGGTGCCATGAGGTATGTGGAGATAAGAAAGTGTGAGGAAGTCAAGCTCAGGCTCAGGCAGGATTCCAGGGATGCCGGGCAGCTGCCCCACCCCCATTATCTGGCTTCTCTGCAATGAGGTAAGCACTGTAGTTTGAAATGGGGTGCTGTTAAATTAACAAAAGCTATGGAGGGGTGCCTTGAATCTAAAAAAGGTTGAAAAACATTTATGTAGACATACCCTAAATGCAGCAACAGATGTTTCATCCATCAATGTTTTTCCAACTCTTAAGTCTAGCAATTTTTCTTTTAAGTTGTGCTTCAAACCCTGAGGACTTTAACACAATAGAACTGACCTTGTTCAACCCAAATTTAAGTTTTTCTTCCTTTGTTCATTGTTGCAGTTGATTGCTAATTAGCAGCATGCTATTATGTTTCATACACCAGATTTCTGAAAGACTTCTGGCCTCAGAAGTTTGCTTTTTCTTAATTTTTATTTAAGGCTGCTTTCTGCAATGACTCCACACTGTGCATACCTACAGAAACTGGGTTGCTAAAATGTTTAATCACTGCTTAGTTAAAATATTTAGTCTGAACAATACCAATTAATTGTTCAACAAGGACAACATTTTCATTGTGCCTGTGCATTCGTTGATATGGGGAAGAATGGAGTAAATGCCTTGGAGTCTTTGAGCCACCTTAAGGCAAACTTACTACTCGTTATTAACTTAATGTCTATTTAACATGAACATCTTTTTATTTATTTTTTTGTAACAAATATCAATTCATAGGAACAAATTCTTGAAACTCATGTATCCAACTGTTCAGCAACACTTCTTTCATCACAAATTATGAACTAACAGTGAGACATGCTGAGTGTATGTATACATGTTATTAATATGCTGTAAGCTTACTGCACAGTAAACTTTCCCTGGGAGTGTGTCCATATGTGAGCCCGTTGGGAGCAAATTTATCTTGATGGGAACAATTCAGTGCAAAACTACTCCTGCTCTCCTCTGCCTCCAGCAGAGCAGCCAGGGGAGCTCTAGGCTCCCCCAGGTGCCAGTCCCAGGCTGGCAGGGGGCACCAGGGTCAGGCCTTAACTCCAAGGGGCGGGGGGGGGGAACTGATTGGCAGATCAGGGCACAGGGCTGGGAAACTGTCCCTTCCCCTAGCAGCTGTTTCCCAGTCCCATGTCCCAATCTGCTGATTGGCACACAGGGCTGGGAGGCAGCTGCCTGGGAAGGGGACAGTTCCCCTCTCCCCTGCTGCCTGGGTTAACCGGGAGCAATTTGCTCCCCATCAACTATCTAAACGTGCTACTGTACAGTAAGTAATGTGCAGTTTATGTACTACTTGTATTTACAGGCAGCGGAAAACTATGTCTTAGCCTAATTTACTGCACAGTAACTGCTGTGCACAGTTACATGGTGACTAATCTACTGCACAGTAAAGTATCTCATGTAGATATGTCTGCTGAGTACCCAAAATTCAAGGTAGCTTTAATGAGATATGCAAGTCCCCTCTTCCTGCATACAAGGTACCAGCATGTGCTCAGCACAAGAGTTTAGTTGGCAGACTTAGCCATTCTTCCAGGTAGGAGCACCACCACCACCATTTACAGTTACATCCCACGCAAAGTTTAAAATAAACTGCCCAGCAAGGACAGCCATGTTTCTATTTAGGTGGAGCTGAAGGAGTAACCTGTTATCTCCTCCTGGTGATGTTTCTCTGCTCACCTCCAATAATGGTGTGCCACTATCTAGGAACCTGCACTGGGTGGCTTTCTTCCTTAGGAATTTGAACACACAACAAATCAAGAGACAGAGAGGGGAGGGGCAGGGCTAAAAAGCAGGCTGAGCTGTGTGGTGATGCCACAGATCAGGGGTAGGTGGGAGTTGCAAAGGTAAGGGGAAGAGGTAAATTACTGCAGCAACCCTTCCCTGGGGCTGAAGTAAGTCCTCATCTAAAAACTCCTTAATATGAAAAGATGTATGTTCTGCAAGACAGAGTTCCTGCTGCTCTTTTCCTTTGTATTATCTAGACTGAATTTGTGATCCTGTTTTAAACGAAGCTAATAGATAGGCCGTTAACTCATGCACTTTAAAAACACTCCAAAAAAAGTTTGTTTCACGATGTGGCAGAATGCCATCTCTGTCTCTCCCCAAACTCTGCTATCAGGTGGATGACAACTCTGATAATTTGGTTACCATGGTCACTGCAGAGGGCAGACACCCCTGTCCCCATTTACTTCAGGTAATCCTGAGCTGTAACTTGAGCTGAATACATTCCTGAGGGAGGAAAAAACCTGCTCCCTCTGCCTATGTGACTGGCCTCACACACCTGGGCAGGGGCTTCAACTCCCTATTGTTCTAGGCAAAGTAATCATGACTGGGAGTGGCCTAGAGACCCTTCCAGTCTACCTGGTAACCAGTGATGCATTTCAAATTGGTTGGCTGATAGCCAACAGCTGCTGGCCTTCATTGGATCAGGTAAATGAGGTCATAAGGGCTATCTAAGTTAAGGACTGCCCAGGAGGCAGGGCAGCAGCCATGATGAGAACTCTCAGAGAAGTTGGACCATCTGAAACTTGCTCTCTCTCTTGAAATGCATGTTCAATGAATTGCTTGCCACCAGAGGGAATCTCCACCTGCCTCTGCATGATACTTGTGAGTAAGCTACTTGAGATCTAACTAGATATATAGCTTGCAGTAACTCAGATGCATGGTCAAAGGCTACCATGCCACTGTTTGCTCTAACGTATTTCTCTGATATTGCTTCACCCTGTATCCTATTCCAAACCAATAAAGTCCTCCTTGAGCACACAACATGGGAGACTTATCGGAGGAGGGTCTGGATTATGCCTTGGGGTCCCCTTGGTTCGGCTGACTAAGGGAGACCACTATTTGTGCTTCAAACTGAGGGAAGCACCCCAAGTTCATGCAGTGGGTTGAGTACCCTTCAAGGACTGCTAGGCCTGTGTTTCCCAGGGGGCACAGGACCAAAATCAGTCCAGATCCTGGGTGGTGGCATCGTTACATCCAGGATTGCGGTTGTGCTCCAGGAAGGGGGTTAGCCAGATGCAAAGCACCCCCAGGGAGGGACTCTGAGCCGGGAAGGTGGTCAGGCGCAGTGAGGTGGATGGCTCAGTGCAGGAGCACCCCATACGGGCCCCACCACACAGCATAGCTTGGGCTTTGGAAGAAATCACTCTAGAGTGCCTGGAGAAATATCTATAATTCTGCTAATTAGCTTGAGTTACCTGGCCATCAGTTAATTTGAGTTAAAACAGGACTATAAATGCTAATCTATACAAATCCCTTGGTGCTAAACAATTGAATGTTATATTGAATGAGACAGGCAGATTTTTGCACCCAGTTAAAAAAAAAAAGTATAGAAGGTTTAGAGCAAAAGAATAAAACTCAGCATCTTCATAAAAAATGTGTGTTTGCTAAATTCCAAGTGTCCTAAATACTTTGCACAACCTTCTATGCCTAGTAGGCAGCTGAAGGCAGGCCTAAGGGCACAATCTGTAAACAAAATAGTTTCCTTAGCAGCGTTTCATGCAATGCTTAACACTATTGATTAAGGAGCAGAGTCCACTACTCTAACTCATACTGGAGACTGCACACAGTTCCACACGAGTAAGAGTGGCACAATCTAATGCTGAATTCATACATAACATATGCTGCAATATTTTCCTCTTGTTCCTAAATGAAATCCTTAGGGAATATGGGTTGTACTACCTCATAAATCAATTACTCTTGATTTCCTTTTCAGAGAAGATTATCACCTCAATAGAATCATAGAATCATAGAATCAATGAGTCGGAAGGGACCTAGACAGATCATCTAGTCCAACCCCCTGCCATGGGCAGGAAGGAGCACTGGGGGTCATAAGACCCCAGCCAGGTGCCTATCCAGTCTCCTCTTGAAGTAATAATATAACTTGAATCATTCACTCCTGTGAAGAGTGACAGTATTTAAGGCCTACCATAATTTCTTGCATACAACGTGCCCTGGCATAAGATACACACCTGGTTTCTGAAAGGCAAAATGAAGAAAAGAAAGATCTTTCCTCATTGTAAGTAACGGAGTAGCAGCAGCTAGAGGGCTAAGACTCCTCACAGTTTTATTCCTGTAGAGCACACGCAGTTACTTGGGAAGAATCACCTTCCTATCCATTACGTATTTCAGAAAATGGGGAGGCAAATTTTAAAGGAGAATTTTACATGGATTTTTTACAAATTTGCTGATAGACACTGTTGTGTTAAAAACCAAATGGTAAGTGTTATCTTGGAAGAATCTCGTACCCTGGGTAAATATGATCTGTGGCCTCACTGTGGAGTCTGAGACCTTGCAATAGCTTTAACCATACATTTCTTAAGGTGGGAAGAAAAGTAGCAAGTAAGTATTTTATACCTGCCTGCTTTTCTAGTTAAAGAAAAATGGAACGCTGACCTCAGACCTTGAATTTTTATCATGTCATTTTTAACACTTCATTTTTAACTTATATCAAAGTTGATGTTTGTGCAGTGGTTCAAATTCATTAATTGCTTTACAAGTCCTATGGCAGTTGCTATTATAAGTCAAATAAAACCTCACAGTTATTTCCTAAGTTTACTAAACAGCAAAACTTTCATATCTATGATACCCTCTTATGGTGATCATTGGCAAGAACTGAATTCATGTTAAATCTTTACATCCACATGTTATTCAGTTAGGGCAGCTTCACCTTCTACTGATGTTATCAGGTACTTTAAATGTCCAATAAGATGCTGGTAATTTGGGGATTACTTTTTTCAAAGAGTTTATCTTTAAATGCCAGCTCCTACACCATCCTTTGTTACATTAAATGAGCCCATCAATGGGCAAACATTCTTCTGGTTTTGGGGAAGACCATTCATAGACTAAGGAACTACTCAAGGTGAGTAAAAAGCAGACTAGAGCCAAAAGTTATTCAAGAACAAATTATACAAAGTACAGTAAGGCAATAACACAATTATGCTCCATCACCATTACATGTTCTTTGCATCTCCATGTAATCATGGTATAACACACAAAAGGGACCAAGCAGCAAATTAAAGCTGCCTAGCTGCTGTCTCCTCATACTGTTTTTCATTCAGCTGCTTGTGTGGTTATCTTGACAAACAACTTGTTTCTATCCTCTGCCTTGTTCCCAGATGGCTTTAATGACCTTGTACGTTACAGATGAGAACCACATTTGATGCTCAACACTTTCCTCAGGCTTTGAACAAGACTGTCATTTTCCACACAGTGATGTCTCTGCACCTATGCAAGTTTCTACATGGATTCAGAACTCATCCAAGGAATAGCATCTTTTTAAGGCACAAATGTTTTCGTATTATTTTCTAGCCCAGGGCTGTACAACTTCTGCGTGGTGGGGGCTGCATGCCCCACATGTTGCAGATCCACAGACTGCACACAGCATGGGCCATGCATCCTGGGTACAGTTTTCCCAGATTCCCCCCTCTTGTTCAAGCAGCCTGCCCCAGCCTAGTCGTGTGTGGAGGGTGGATAGCCTCTTCTTCCCCCAGTCATGCATGCAGCCTGGCTCCCCTCCCCTCAGCCCAGTGCTGGCAACACAGACCTCTATCCAGCTGCCTCCCCCACAGCACTGCCCTGCCCCCAGAAGCTGGAAGAGAAAAAGTGTTAGGGGAAGCAGATTTCCTGGCTGCAGTAGCAGCAGGAGCAGTTTCAGGAGTAGTGGCCAAGTGGGAGCCCACAGGCCTTATGTTATCCCCTTACGAGCTGCCAGGTAGATAGCACAACAAAGTCATATACAGGTCCTGATACCCTGTACTGAGAGGCCTTTGCCTATGACTAATACTTAGTGCTCATAAAACATTTTTCATCCTCAGGATTTCTATATATTTATAAAACATTTAAATTGTATTAAACATTTTATCCTGCTCCACTGGTCAGTCTTAACTACCTGATATCATGTACTGTATACTCCTTATGAAAAGGACTGGCTCTATTTGTGTCTCACACTGTGCTATGCAAACTGACATTTTAATAACCAGGACTCCCCTTTCTGAATGGGAAAGCCAAGACACAAGAAGACTGAGTAGTGTGGACAAGGTCACACAGCACACCTATAGCAGAACCGAGGACGGCCTGACTTCTAGAGCAAATCGCAGTAGAAGAATAGCCCTTTTACTTTCTGCTGAATCCTTTCCTAACTACCCCAATACTGATAAATGCTAAATTTATTATAAGGGATGTAGGTTGTAGCCGTGTTGGCCTAAGGCAAAGTTATTTGGGTAAATCTGGTATCGTTTATGAGACAAACTAAAATAGCTGGAAAAATTCTTCTTAGAAAGCTTTTGGGCACAAACGCCCTTCATCAGGCTGAGGAATCATCTGCAGAATTTATTATAAGTCAGTTTATGTATCCAGACGATCTTCTCTGACACATTCATATAATACTATACCTGAAACATTACCAAAACTAGTTCCAGTGTTAATTTTTCACTGAGAAATAGTTAATGTATCTGTTACTAGCTTCACCTGTTGATTCTGTAAATCATTTTGGAGTTTCCCATTTTCACTGCTCAATACTGCCCACATTGGATATAGCTTGCTCTTTCAGCTGAATGAGTGCAAACAGCTTTCACTGTGCTGTGCTCAAAGTCAACATATATATGTAGAACAAGAGTGGGCAACCTGCAGCATGGTTGCCACAAGTGACATGTGAAGCCTGTGTGTGGCATGGCAGATCAGAAAGCGGGCAGGCAGCAAAGTGGTAGATAGGGTAGGGAGCAGAAAGCAGAGCAGGTGATCAAGTTGGGAACACAGGGCAGAAAGCAGAAAGCACGAGCAGCTGATCACACAGAGAAAGGGGAATTGCAGTAGCACTCAGGAATGGTGTGGGGCTAATTTGTGGCAAGCCTGGCAAAAAGGATGCACCCCACTGGTATAGAACATCAAAATACATTAGAGAGACATAAGAGTCATTGCATTTGGGATTTAGAATGGTTATAGTAATAGAATAAGCTTGATGAATTCTTTCTTACTTGCTCGAACACCTTCATAGAAGTCATGGCCTCTCTGAAAGGCAAAGAAATAGGAGAAAATATAATGCATTCTATTTCTCCCTCTTTACTGGGCTCAATACTTTTACATGAAGTTTCGATACTCTATGCAACTCTACTTCCTCTTTTTTCGTCTTGCCTTCCTCTCCTTCATTTACAATTAACTCTCTTTACTTAGCAACTGTGCCTGTTACTTCCTTCCCCAAGTCTGGGTTGTGTACCTTCTTTCATACTATATATCTGAAGCAACCTTCCTGGTCCACCAACAAAATGCTCTCCTCCCACCCAAATATCTTTCTAAGCTTCCTTAGCCTATCTCAACATCTCTTGCCATTTGAACTGGTGTCCTGTGCATTTAGTTGACTGAATTACAGTTATGTCCAGCAAGTTCTCCCTCCATGGCATATATCCATATATTTCCTTTGTATAGGAATTTTGCAGAATCCTGGTATACAGGATTGGTCCCTAGCTTGTAAATTCCTTAGAGCAGGCCCTTTGTCTTAAACTGATTTGCAAAATACTGTGCATGTTTAACACGTATTACAGTAAATAATTCTGTTTCACCAGCCTCTGAAGTCCATTTGAAAGAAGGGCAATTTATTATAAAACATTCCAATTCCTAAGGACACAATAAGAGAGTGATAACACACATTTTGGGAAAGGAGTGATAGTGATATTTGCAGGTCTAAATGGGATATGCCATTAATTTCTACTGTCTACTCTATATGATAGCATTGATTCTAAAAAAGATTTTCTGTAGGTATAATGAAAAGTGACCATAGTACAAGGCTTACTGTCAGGGTTCATTCAGACAGTTAGTCAATGACTGCTATACTGCTGAACCAGAATTATTTCCTATACACTTTACCTCAGTATACCATAATTTTAAGGTACTCGCATAGTCCCATCTATCAGTATAACATCCTTTCATATATTTATTGTGACAACACTCTTGGGAGGTTGTCCTCATTTTACAGACAGGACCCAAGGCAGAGAGAAACTGACCTGCCACAGAAAGCAATGAATTGAACCAGGCCAAACCTAGATGAATGCCCTCACCACAGGGCCACCTTCCATTTTATTTTAGTGACCATGTTTCCATCTAGTTGCATAAACTGGCATAAAAAGGTAAAGACAAATGCCAACCTGAACAGATACACCAGTAAGATACTTAACATTTAATTGTCAGCCATATTCATTGCTGTTATTAACATGAAATACCAAAGTCTGAGATCAGTTTATCACATCTGGAAGAAGTAAAGATGATTAACTCCTGCTTACCATGCATGCCTGGCTCAGTCTGTATTCCATCGTTAGAACATTTTGCAGGTCCATGGAAGCCCCTTCTTGAAGCTGTCTGACAGTCATCTTTAAGGATGTTGGTGACATTTTACTAATGGTCTGTGGACAACAATGCACTTCACTTTTTACTCTATTCGATGTTTAGTCAAGTGATTTTCAAAAATGAAGAAAAAATTATCTAGTGACTTTAAACTGTAAGAAACAACATTCAGCAATATTCTAGAACAGGCATTGGCAACATCTGGCCCACAGCCTGGATATGGCCTGTGAAGCCACTGGATCCTGTCCCCGGAGCTGGAGGGCTTTGCCTGTGCCTGCACCCATTCCCATGCTGGGGCTGGACAGCGAGGAGCTGTGCCAGAGCCAGGCAGCTTTCAGCTGTCCCTGCACCACTGCTGCTTCTCTCCACCCTCCTGTTTCTGGCCTCATGTGGGCCAGGTGGTTTCGCCAGCAAGTCAGAGGAGGCACGTGGGATTTCCCTGACACTGTGCCAGGAGCTGCACCTGTGCTACCACTGCTTCTCCCAACCCCCATTCCTTGGCTGCCTCAGGGGGTGCATCTTCCATGCCATGGGGAACAGGGTTGAGGCACCTCCACCTGCTGCTGACACAATGTCAAGGCCACCCAAATTACACTGGACCAGATCTGGGTCGTTCCAGCCACCTTTGGGGCAGCTTCACTCCTTCACTTCTGAGGTTTGGTGCATATAGAACAGGGGCGAGAGGGGTCCTTGGCACTTAGGAGCTCTGAGGAAGTGCCGTAAACATACCATTAGATCTATGGATAAAAGGCAACAGTAAGTGTAAAATGTTGCTGTTTTAACCCAGGGCTGTCCATCTTTTAAGCCCCTGGGGGCTACAGGCCACACCAGGGGAGCAACGGGCTGCATAGATGCTCCCTTCCCTCTCCCTATCCCCCAACACCACACCCTACTCCACCCCCACATTGTTCCACGTGGGCATCCCCTTACCACTGCACCGGGCACCCCGCACTGCCTCATGGTGCACCCCCTGCCTCCCACTGCTGCACCGCACCCACCACCACTGCTCTGCAGGGCAAGAGGACAAAGTGGCAGCTGGAGGCAGGAGGGGGAGTCTGGCAACTCAGGGCTGCTGTTGCAGACAGAGCAATGGAGTGAGAGCCCAGTGGCTCAATTTAACCTTTCACAGGCCCCACACGGTCCATGGGCCGCCAGTTGGGCAGCTCTTTTTTAAGCACAAAGGAGCAGGACTCATGAGATGGCATTTCATTTTGCTCCTTGATATAGACAAACACTATTCAGTTTTCCAACTACAACTGTGAACTGTGGCATTATATAAAAGATTAAAATGCCTACAGGTTGCAGTATGTTAGACATTTGTTACTTATTTATAGAGCTTTCTCAGTGTTTACAGAATCCATGGCAAGACACAATTCTTAATTACAATGTGTTTTAAAAGGAAAGACTTAATGAAGTGTCAGAAAACAACACAGTGACTTTAGACATCTAAATTTAAATCTACAGCTCTAACGAGAAAAACATAATTGGAATCCTGGCTTTACCAGTCTTCTCTCAGGGCTAGGATGTCTATAATGTCATCCAAAAATAAATATTCATATATGCAGTTGAATCTGATGACAAGCAGTTTGTTGGAAACCTTTTTGACAAATTATCCATTAGAAAAAAACTTATCCTGCAGTTACAGAATACTGTAGCCATAAATTGGTCCTCCTTTAAAACCGTCTTGCAAATTTTTAATAAAAGGTGATTGATATGTGGCTGGTCAGTATGGCAATGGTATAACTTTGAATATATATATTTTCCACCACAATAGCAGCCAGAATAAAGTATCAGTTAACATAAGCATGAATAGTCTACTTTGTTTTTCAGGAGTATATCATAGGATCATAGGAAAGTAGGATGGGATGGGACCTCATGAGGTCATCCAGTCCAGCCCCCTGCTCAAGGCAGGATCATCCCTGACTAAACGAATTCCAAATCAGGTTTTTACAGACCAATCCTTGATGGTTAGAGTTCTTCTTTTCGAAGAGTAAGGAGGGCTGATCTGGAGCTTTGACTTTCAATCTACAAGTCTGTAAAATGACTAATGGCCTATTTCAATCAATGGGAAAACTCTTCTTGACTTCAGTAGGGCTTGAATTCACCATTTTTCAAGTGCAGGTGCACTGGGAAAAATCCTGGCATCTGCTGAAGTTGGTGGGGTTTGCCATCAGTTTTACTGGGGCCATTATTTTGCAGGCATAATGCAGAGAACTAAAATAAATTAACTTTGATTTGTTCATTGGTATTTAGGAATAAACCATTTTTGTGCTTCAGGTGCAGAGGGGTGTATACATATAGGTATGTGTAGTATACAGTACATATATTACATATGTAATGTAGAGTGCGTGTGCATATCCATGTATTATAAATGAGCATAACTGAAAAATCTAACAGAGTATTTTTTGTTTGAAAGTATTAAGCTATTGATGTTAATAAGATGGAATTAATAGTATGGGCTGTGACCCAAGTAGGCGGTGGTTATGTGAGCTGCCTTCTACTACTGGTATTAAGAGAGGTCTCGTAAGGTCCCAATTATTTCAGAAGAATAACCACAGCATTTTACTTTGCTCTCTTGTTGTTTTTGCATAAAAACCCTACTAGTTTCTTTCAGATGAATGCGCTTGTTTAGATGAATTGGTGCCTCCTGTCTGTTCGAAGGACATAAGCAACTTTGGGCCTGTAGTTCAGGCTTATTAACTCACCATATATTGTTTTCCTGTTACAGCTATCTTGGGTTTATTGCTTTACTTATCTGGGAGGATGAATAGCTTAAAAAATATGAACAGCTTACAAAAGACTACATATTATTCACTCATATAGGGAAGTGAAGACTGTCTTCCTTGAACTCAGTTAAACCTAACATGAATTCATAAAGGGAACAGTTTGGTTAAAGAAATAATTTCTTTTCAGTTGCTCTTAATCCGGTAGGCCCTTTTCATTTCTGGTACTCCTCTATGAAACATAATTAGGAGCATCAGGATTAGAAAGATGGAAAGCTCTCTCCTTTACTTCTGAAGCTCTTAGAAGAAATCCCCCAAACCCTCCTCTTGGAATCCCCTAAATGCTGCAGTTGGATGGGATGCTGCATATGAGAAACTTTCTTAGCAACTAATATCTGCCTCTGAGATAGAAAAGGAATGGGTTGCATTAGGAGGGGGGAAAACTGTTCTTTGTTTGTTTCCCCCAAACTCATCCCCTCCTCCTCCTTGCACAATCAGTTTATTTATAGATAGGCTGGTGAGTCATTTTTCTGCATTGCACCCATCCTGGATGCTGTTTTTTCTTTTCCTGTTCTTTTTTCCTTTCCCTTGATTTATAGCAGTGCCCCCTCCACCTCCAGCCTTTCTGATTTTTCCAGATCAGGCAGCTGCTGTGTGTACTAGATTAGTAAACTGCTGTTCTCTGATCATTCCTGCTCCAGTGCTCTCTATCCACAATGCACTGGGTACACTGGGTTTGCGTACAGCATTTGGCCTGGGCCCAGCTGAGACTTTAAGACCAGACAATGTGTCACCCAACAAATGGGCAGAGGGAACTGTGGAAGGTAGAGCAGATACAGCACAACAAGGGAGCTAGCAGCAGGAGGTATTTGCTGGAACTCAAAGTATACAGTTTAAGCCAGTATTTATTCTTTCCAAAGGAGTTTCTCCATCAGACCAGCTGCCAGACGCATGCAAAACAGCATGGTAAAACTTGAAGCACTAGTTATGATTACAGGACCTACTGTTTGCACAGCAGCTGCAAGTTGTCAGTAGACATAAGTAAACAAGCAAAAATGGGTCAACTGCTGTCTGGAGAGAGAGGGATAGAAATCCATGTGATTGCAAGCCAGAAAAATTGTTGATGACTGGAAATCTGCCATTTCAGCTTTCAGGTTAAGAGTTTGATGTCCTTGTTGGAAATAATGTGAATAGGTAAATCTTACCATCTGCCACTTCTGGCTGAAGTGGTAGCGGATCGCCTACAAATTGGAGCATAGAGGGAATGAGGAAGCTTTTAGTCATTCTTGTAGAAAAAAATGTCAGTTTTAAGTTGAAAAAGAAAACATTTTTTTTCAGATTAATGATGTTCATGCTTCTGCTCTTCTTTCTCAAAATAAATTTCAGAGTTCAGTTCTATTTTCTTGACTATGGTTTTCATCTCTGGCATGCTGTCTTGCAATCACAGACTTGTTGGAAGTGTTACGCTCTTGGAATTTGTTCTCGTATTTACAGTGACAGGATGCTGTCCTTCATGTTGGTTTGTAATGTCAAAAAACTTCATAAAAATCTGATCTTTGTAAATACGGAGCCACCTAACAAAACTGCCATTCTTAATCTCAAGTACTTCTTGTGGTTAGACTGCCTGGCTGCTCAAGGCTGCAGCGCACTGGGGTCACCTAGCTGGAGCAGTTCACTGATTCCAGGGGAAGGAATTCTTTTCCCACTTTAAGGAGAAAAAAAAGAATAGCTGCTACCCTAGGAGGCAGCAGGCAGTGGGAGAAAAATAAAAGACTAAGGAGCAGTGGAACAATTTTAAGGACACTTGGAAGCTTTTTGGAGACTGCATATACAAAACAGATGCTAGGACTTAGAAATGTTGTATTGTGTGTATGCTGTTGTCATGACTGAACTAGGCTTGTGTAATGATACATACACAATAGAGTGGTGGTCTTCTATTTGACCTCATTTTAAATTTATTTTTAAATCTGATTATCTTTTGATGGGAGGCAGAGCCGACCCTAGTGGGGTAATGGTACCTTAACACTGCACGGGGCCATGGTACCCCCACAAAGGGAGGGGGTCTCCGTGCTTCTTCCGTGGCATGGGACTGAACCGCCAGCTCCAGGTGGGCCCTGTAGGAGTGGCTGCGGCCACTCCACCAGGCCCCCACAAAGCGCAGGGCCCAGGGCAGCCACCCCGATTTGCCATACCCTAGGGATGGCTCTGATGGGGGGTGAGATTTCTTTTTCTCAGAAATTTGTTCATGAGATCCCATCAAGATCCTCAGGTGGTGATGACCACTTTGTTTATGATAGTGACCTCAGGATACAGGGAACCACTCAATGGGTAGTCCA